GATTAAAAGCTCTCAACCCAAAGAAGAATCTTGTCCCAGGGAGCTTCACTGGCATATTTGACCAATATTCAGAGAAGCGCTGATACAGTCCACTCAAACTATTCCAGAACAAAGAAAATGATAGAATGCTCTTGAACGCCTTCTATAAAGCACACAGAATGCTGAGACCAAAGCCAGGAAAAGATGCCGCTAAGAAAAAAAATTATATCCCTCATGCAAAAAACAAAGATTCTTAACAAAATTCTAACCAATAGACTCCAGCAATAATATCTAAAAAATAATACATCATGACCAAGTGGGATTCAGTACAGGTAAGCAAAGGTAGTTAAACATTATGGGGAAAAACAGTGTAATCCACTACAGAGCTAAAACAAAAGAAAATAAATGGATGATCATATCAACTGATGTAAAATGTGCATTTGACAACATCCAACATATATTCCTGTATTTTCCCCCCAAAACACAGAAAATAGGAATACAAGTTGTGTTAGGCTGGGAAGACTGGAGAAACAAGTCCAGTAATATATGTGTAAGAGAGAGCTTTATATCAAGAAGTAATTGTATATCAAGAAAACCTCCCAGCCTAGTCCAGATCAAGTCCATCAAGTCCAATACTAGTCCAAACGTCTGTTACTCGTCCTTAAGTCCCTCTTCAGACTCACACAGCCACATGCAATGATGCAGAATGCAGGAAGATCACAGGCCACTAAGTACAAAGTCTTGTGCATGCAATGGTCGTGGTTCTGGCAGGTCTTAGAGTGGTTCGCCAGCAGGAAGATGAAAGAAGAGAGAGGGGCTAGCCTCCACAGAGCCATTTATCTCGGTCACACCTCCAAATGAGGCCATCAAGCAGTGACCTGATTGACAAACTAAACTCCACCCATATCTTCTTACAGGTGCCATGTTGGCACACAAAAAAACAATCAAACAAGGGAAATTCCAAAACATAATTAATGGCTATACACAAAACCAATGGCCAGTATTGTTATCAACAGAGACTAAGAATATTCCCATTGTAAATTGAAACTATACAAAGATACCTTTATCATCATTCCTGTTCAGTATTGCATTGGAATTACTTGCAAGCGCAATAAGAGGAAACCAAAAAACCCACATCAACCAAGAATGACTAAAATTCTTTCTATTTGCAGATGATATGATCCTATACATAGAAAACCCAGGTTCAACAATGAGACTGTAAATCAGATTCCTTTACACAAAGAGAACTCTAGAAAAACTGTCAGGAAAAATACATTTTACAGTATTCACCCAAGAGATGCAGCACTTAGGAGTAAATTTAACTAGAGATACAAAGTACTACACAAAGAAAACTTACAATTACAAGAAAATTTAAGAACTAAACAAATGGAAGACTAACATGTCTATAATAGGAGGACTTTGCATTGTGAAAATGTAACTATTACCCATAAAAATATGCAGATAAAATGCATTCCCAATCTATATTACACCATCATTCTTTAAAGAGATAGGAAAAACTAGTCGCCAACTTTATATGGAAAAGAAAAAACTTAACTTAAGCAGAAAATACCAGAAAGATGTTTACTTGTATTTGATTGACTATGCCAAGACATTCAACTGTATGGATCATAACAAAAAATGGATAACCTTGAGAAGAATGAGAATTCCAGAACATTCATTGTGCTCCTTTGGAACTTTTCCATGGATCAAGAGGCAGCTATGCAAATATAACAAGGAAATGAATACTGCTTTGGCTTAAGTTCAGGAAAAGTGTGTGACAGGGTTGTACCCTTCACCATACTTATTCAATATATATACTGAGCAAATCATCAGAGAAACTGCCTTATATGCAGAAGAATTTGGCATCAGGATTGGAGGAAGGCTTATTAACAACTTACAATCTGTAGATGATGCAACCTTGCTCTCTGAAAGTGAGGAGGACTTGAAGCACTTGCTGATGAAGATCAAGGATTACAGCTTGCATCGTGGATTACAGCTCAATGGGAAAAAGACAAAAATCTTCAAAACTGAATCAATAGTACATTGTGATAAATGGAGAAAAGGATGAAGTTGTCAAGGATTTGTCTTACTTGTATCCACAGCCAAGGCTGATGGAAGCAGTGGTCAAGATATCAAAAATTGGGTTGCATTAGATAAATCTGCATCTCGAAAAACAAGGATATTACTTTGAGAACTAAGGTGTGCCTGACCCAAGCCATGGTATGTTCAATTGCTCCATAAGCATGTGAAAGTTGGACACTGAATAAGGAAAACTGAAGGAGGATTAATGCAGTTGAATTGTGGTGCAGGAGAAGAGTATTGAAAGTATCATAGACTGCTGAAAGGAGAAACCGATCTGTCTTGGAAAAAGTATGGCCAGAGTGCTCCTTAGACACAGTCATGGTGACACTTCATGTCCCATCCTTTGGACATGTTGTCAGGAGAAACAAGTGCCTGGAGAAGGACATTGTGTTTGGTAAAGCAGAGGGGCGGTGAAGAAAAAGAAGGCCCTCAAAGAGATGGCTTGACCTCAGGGCCACAACAATGGACTCAAGCACAGGAACGATTGTGAGAATAACACAGAACTGGACAGTATTTTATTCCGTTGTACGTAAGGTCACTATGGGTAGGAATGACTCGATAGCACCTACCAACAACAGCAAGAAAACTCAAAAGCATACAAAATATGGACACCTCAAGACTATGACGCTTAATCACTTTCCAACCTGGAACTGAACTCACTTCTATATGTAAACTTTTAGTCCAATCAATAGGCAGGGCATGGTGAAGGTAATATGGTTCTTTTATCTGTATTCTTTGTAACTCCAATCCAGTGAATAGTGGCAGCATGTATATAAGGTTTAGAGGACTCTAACTTGGGAATCGGTCAGTTTTGCAATTCCACTGGGTATAAAAGTGAACCATCTCAGAAGTAGGGAGAGAGAAATCCTGTGACTATTAATAAAGAACCATCAAAGACACAATTCATTAGAATGCAAGATTCCTGTCTGAATGCTGGATGCAGTAGAGGTGCCAGAGGTCGCAGCACAGGACAGAGCAGAAGATCCACACTGAGACCTAGAGGCAGAGTAGAGGAGCAGCACCAAGACCATGTGGCAGAGTGACAGTTTCCTGGTACAGGGAATAAGGCAGAGGCCAAGAGATTATGTGGCTGAGAAATCAAGGACCAGAGATAGATATGCCTGCCAGTATGGTGGAGAAGAGGTGTTATGTTAAAAATCAAAACAATACCCCAAAAAACAACAAAAACAACCAACTATATCTCTAACATTTTGTGTTCTGTCATCTTCCCTAATAAACTTCGTAAGCATGAGTATTGTCTATATGACCATTTCAATGAATTACCAAATCCAGCAAAGAAATAAAGTGCCATGGGATGAATGGTTGGTATCAGAATAGGGTAAAGAAAGATGGATGATGGAGGCATGTCACACTTCTGCGTTATGGCAATTGGCTTGGGCTGGTGTGGCATGTATTCACCTTTTCTTTTGTGTAGATAGAGGACGTGGCCCCATGCCATTTCCTCACAATAACACCAAGAAGATAAACACCCTTTAAAACAATCAACCATAAGAAACAGAATTAACCTATGAGGGATGCTCAGAAGTCAAGAAGAGATAGTAAGGAAATATTAATGGAAATAGGAAACATGGGAAAGAAGTTGTACAGTACTGTTATTTTGTAAGGATTCCAACCAATGTTAAAAAGAAAATTGTATGTGAATACTTGATTTAAAACTAATTTACTCATTAAAAAGCAAAACAACAACAAAATATGAAACACCAACTCACTGCCATCAAGTTGATTCCCTATAGGACAGAGTAGCACTGTTCCTTTGAGTTTCCAAGGCTATAAATATTTACAGTAGCATAGTTGCTAGTGGTTTAGAAACACTGGGCTTCCAGTTAACAATTTAATTCATAACCCACTACCCCATTAAGGCTCCTTTGGGCTCTGTAGACTGTGACCTAAATCACAATAAAAACAAAAATACAGTTTAAAAAACCCAGATTGAACAAGCAAACACATGAATAAACAGAGAAGAGGGAAGAGAGATGCCATGGCACATACGTTTTCAAGGAAACTGCAAAAGACTGCAAAGCTGAAAAAGAAACAAGGCACTTCACCCAGTACAAAACAGAGAGAGACCCTTTCTCTAGAGCTAGCACCTTGAATTTGAACTTCTAGCCTCCTAAATTGTGAGAGAAAATACATTTCTGTTTGTTGAAGGCAGCCATCCACTTGGGGTATTTCTGTTAGAGGTAACTAAGTAGGTAACTAAGACAGCACCTTGAGAGATAACTGCAGCCAAGTGTCTAGAAAAGAAGAGAAATATCCCTTCTATACTATGAAATAATTCAAGGTTGCCTCTATTTCTGTAGTTAGTTTCCAAGTAGTAGTGGAAATCATATTGATCTGATGCAGTCATAGCCCTGTGACAAATGATCCTCAGCCAGCTGCAGTTAACTGTTTTGTCCGATGTAGAGGTACAACTTGTAGTCATAGGACGGAGAAACCCCCCTCCTTCAGCCCCACCCCAAGTATGGGTATTGATATGGGCTTGTAAAAGAAAGGGCATTTCTCAAATATTCCAAACATGGGTTACACATTTGAGTGAAGGGTTTTATGGTTGTAGAGGCTCAAGTCAGGACAAAAATCTTGTGAGTAGTGGGCTAACAAAGAAGTGATCATGGAGGGAGAAAAGCAGGTTTCCCACCCTGTCCTCTAGAGTTTCTACTCACAACTATGTAGCCAATAGAACAGGCATTTCCATCTTGGCTGTGAACAGACACAAGGGCAACAATGTTAAAGAAACTGAGACCCAAAACAGCATCATGGAAGAGAAATGACATGAAAATCGTAGCTTCTTTTGTCAACCCCCACACTGGTTGGTAGACATTAGGTAAACACAACAGATGCTCAATAAATGTGACCAATCTTCTCTCGAGCTCTTTCTTTCCTTCCTCCCTCTTTTTATCCCTTCCCCTTTTTCTCTATAGTTCTATATGAGGAAAGCAGACAAACAATATCAGTTAAAAACTTTACTTCAACTTTCTTCTTGGAAGATGACTCAGAAGATACTAATAGAACAAGCCCAAGACACCGTAAGGATATTTCGCTTTTTATTCTATTATTCGATATCATCTAGCTCCCAGAAAAAAAATGTTTTCATGAATTCCCATTTAGCTATAATCCTGCACTCTAGTATATACCCCTCTCATGAAGAAATGGCTCTGTTAGCCATTTGAAAATGCAAAGTTTGTAGTTTTTAAGTGGTTTTCACTGCCAGCAAGCCAACACCCTGGCCTCATTATTCTCACACTCTTTGTAATAAGAATGTAACCTATTGTTCTATTGTGTTGCCTGAATGTTATCTGCAAGAAAATCATAGCATTTGACTCCGCACCACAGGAAAACTAGGGCGAAATAAAAGCAAAGAAGAGAGATTATTTGTTTACATCTGACACCAATGTGCTATCTTTTTGTCCAGGTTCTCGTCATAGCATTTTGTCTTCTATATCATCTCTCAAAAGTGAAGACCTAGATAACCTCAATTTGATGCACTTACATTTCATGCCTGAAACAATGTAAGCTTTAATCCATTTTAATGGCTTATTCTATTCTTTGATTAAGAACAGTTTCATACCTGAAGTCAAACACTGAATCCATCATTTATTGTTTGAGTGACCTTAAGCTAATAATTCTCAGCTTATTTCTGCACATGTGGAATGGGAAGAATTTTATGACATATATTCTTAGGTTTGTTGTTATTTATTGAGATAATATATACATAGTAATAAAGCAATGCTTGGTACTCATTATTAAGTACTATATATGTTAACACATTATTATTATAAACAATAAACATTAGTTGATATTTATGAGAACTTGGTTTTCTATTGTGCTGCTCTTAACAATAACTGTTTAGAGATGCTTTAAAAAAATTAGTATTAGTGAGTAGGAATCAAATCTAAGAAAACCTATCTTATCAGTCCTACCTCTTTAGAATATTATTAGTCAAGCCCCACCACACTCGATTATTTTGAGTTACTTTAAGAAGAAATTTTAGCCACCAGAGAAACCCTAATTTTTGGTAAATGGGGAGAATCACATGTTAGAGAATTGTGTTCATTTTAGTAATGAACAGAAAAACCATCTATGATTGAATAACTGAACTGTACCCACTTTTAGTTGCTCAAATAAAACACAACTAGCAATTACTTAAAATGTCTGGAACTTCCCAACCATGCCCCACTTCATCTTACTATTAGTTTTTTCTCCTAGCAAAAGCCTTGGTGTATTCTTGCTGTAAGGCCTCCCACCATGGCTGATTTCAAGCTATTGGTGTGGTATCACTGAGTGAGGAATTGGGAGGAGACATGCATACCATTTACGTACACTGGCTCCAGAGCCATGTCTGACTTTGATGTTGACAATGGGAAGCAAGTACACAGTCAATCATCCATCAGATTGACTCAGGAAATTAAAAAAAAAAACAAAAAAACAACTACCTGACTTTTCATTGGGTTAGGTCCATGTGGCTTCTCCTTGGGGATGCCAGGCAGGATATGAGCCTTGCCAGCTGAAGCAGGGAATTGGTTAAGGCAGCTGCACCCTGGTCTGACCATCACAAAGCAAGAGACCCGAGAACTAGAAAGGCTAGGCTTACCGAGCCATTTATCTCTCCGCCCTTCAATTAACACCACATGTGTTGATTGGCCAGGTTGACACAATAAACTTTGACTATCTCAGTTGTCTACCCTTTTTTATCAATCTTTTTTTTAAAAAAACGTGGCTACTTTTGCCCTTTAATGTGAAAGTGCTGTACAGCAGTCAACATCTCTGAAGGCAGTGCAGATTTAACTCTCATGGGATATTCAAAAGTTTTTATGAGAATGAGCCAATGACTCTACTTCTCATTTTTTTGCTATAAGTGAAAAAAGTAATAGTCCTGAAGGCCTCCAAAGATGACTAAGATGACTAAGAACATGAGCCTTGCTTCTTTAATATGAGAGCAATCTCATGCAATCCTCCCAACTGGCTGGGCACCCTCACTATAAAGTCCACACTGTAGGACACCTACATGTGCCTCTCAAGAACTGTTTTTGGGCTAATATGGAGGAAGTGAAGACATTCCCCTAGTGGCTTTTGATAAAGCAGATTATATCTGCAACCCAGTGATAATAGAACTCCTTTCCAGCAATAATATTTGTCTAATTTCAGATGCTTCAAAGAAAAATGTGTCATGAACAACTATTTTGGAATTGGACTGGATGCTAAAATTTCTCTGGATTTCAACACAAGAAGAGATGAACACCCAGGACAATACAAGTAAGGAAAAAAATAGACCCTTCCCTACATACAAACATTCAATCACAATACGCACTTGTATTCCTACATTCTCACCTCTGACAAGGAACTGCAAAAAAGGTCCTTTTAAAGTAAAATACCTCTGGCTCAAGGATAGTCCATTGGCATAGTTTTTCCCAATTATTGGGCAAGCCTGTGATGATTCTGTGCTGGACTCCTGAATTTAGAGTTGCCTTCATACTCTTGATCTTGAGTTGCTGTTTACCACCGTTAATTTTGTTAATGAGAACAGATTATGTTGACGTGATTCAGCAAATTACTTTTTTTCTGCCTGTGATTGATAGCGAAGAGTGACTTCAGCTCTGTTTATGCTTAGCGAGGTGGGTTTTTTTTTTTTAGCTTAGCAAGTCTTCAAAGTGTCAAGTTTATTCCTTTGGACTAATTAACTTTACCCCATCTAGTCTTGAACTACATGACACCTTCTGTTAATGGATATAATTATACTGTTATGAGTTGAAATGTGCCCTCCTCCCACCCACCCCCAACCAAAATATCATAAAAGCAGTCAACAGACTCCCAACTCTCCCACCCCTCACGCCTTCAACCACCAAAATATGTGTTATTAATCCTAATATCTTTGCTCTTTGGTTATAATCCCATTTGGGAATGGCTTGTCATTCTTATGATGGTGAGGCAGAAATAGTGTAGTATGTGTATGAATCAATCTCTGGTTTCATTGTTGTTGTTTTTACAATTTCTGTTAAGATGGAGAAAAGATTAAACAAACAGTAAAACAAGCAGATATGGGATAAGATAGATGCCATGCCATGTAGACATCTCCAAGGACCCAGAACACAAGCTGAAGAGATGAGCACTGTCCCCAGAGCTGAGAAAGAAAGAAAGCCTTCCTCTAGAGAGGCTAGGTTCCCAAACTTTGCCTCCTCCTCCTAGAGAGTAGGATTCATTAGGTTTCTAATAGAGCCCAGCAATCTGTGGTTTCACCTGTTCCAACTATCAGCCGAATTGGGGGACCAAGAGCTCTAGCTGATTTCATATTTCTAGATTGTTAAAGTCACAAACCTATAGTATGTCTCTTTTAGCAGTACTAGGTAACTAAAACACATACCTTAAGGCAGTCTCAGAGTTCTTGTGGTAAATTTAAGATACAAATAAAAACTTATCAAGGGTTCCTGAAAAGAAAAAAAAGGGGTGTCCTGAGGACATATCCTTCAACACAGCCATAAGGAACAAGTTTGTGAAGAGGGCCCAATCAGCCCCATTGTAGGCAAATGATGGAGTTAGCTTAGGGCAGTTCCCACTGTTAATCCTGGTGCTCGTAAAATAGCAATTACAGGAGTCTTCAGAGATGCTGACACCTGCCCTCTACCATCACAAACTCTTGATAAGTGTGGGCAGGGGAGGGAGGGCAATGAAATGGGGAGCTGATATCAGGGGCTCAAGTAGGAAGAGAATGCTTTGACCATGATGATGGCAGCATATGTGCAAATGTGCTTGACACAATGGATGAATGTATGGATTGTGATAGGCATGTAAGAGCCCTCAATTAAAAAAAAAAAGACTATGGCTCAGGAAGCTGAAAGTAGTTTGCACCTGATTGTTGACATAAAAACTTTGCTGAACCTCAATTTTCTAAATAAAATCCATGAGGATTTAAAAAACAAACAAACAAAACCCCAACCTTCCATGTCCTCACTCTCGTGTCTTCCCACTCCTTGCCTGTCACCTGAAACCAGAACGTCTTTCCCAGACAGAGTAGGACTAAACTAAGAAGCAGCCAGTCTGTGAAGCAAGAGAAATTATTTAGATTTTTTTTAAGTCCAAATGTGATGAAAAGTTTTCACTTTTGAAGTTGAATTGTTTTCAGCTGGTTAGGCCTAAGCCAAAACCAAACTAACTCCATTGCCATTCAGTCAGTACTGACTCATAGTGTAACTGTTTACAGAAGTAAACAGGGCTCCTGGTTAGACCTGAGGCATCCAAATTTGTTTGTTTTCTACTACAGCCATTCTGTAGTTGGAAATCACTTTTACAAAACAACTTTATTGAGGCTTACTTTGCATATCATAGAGTTCACTCTTTTCAACTACACAATTCAATTATTTTTTAGTAAATCAACAGGATTTTGCAACCATCACCATAAATTAGTTTCAGAACACTTTTATCAACCATATAAGACCTTTCATCATGTTTAAAGCTAACCGCCATTCCCTACCTTCTCTTCCTCTCATGCCTGACAACCACTAAACTACTTTTTGCCTATGTGGATTTTCCCATTCTGTATATTTCATATATAGAGAGGTGTGGTCTCTTTTATCATATTTCTTTCACATAGCGTAATATTAAGGTTCATTCATGTTGTGGCATGCATCTGTAGTTCAATCATTTTGATTGCTGAATAGTATTCTATTGTACTGTACCACATTTGTTTTATATTATTAATTGGTAGATATTTGGGTTGTTTCCACTTTGGGGCTATTATGAATAATGTCTTTAGGAATATTCATTGTACAACTTTTAAAAAATTAATTTATTTTTACAAATAATTTTATTGAGGGTTCTGACAGCTCTTATAACAATTCATACATCAATTGTATCAAGTACATTTGTACATATGTTGTCTCCATTCTTAATACAACTCAGAAACCATAAGTGGCAGCAACAGATTTGTAGCATAACATTGTACAACTTTTTATTAGGATATATGCTTTAATTTCTCTTGGGTATATAGCAAAGGATGTAATTGCCGTTTTATATAGTAAGTCTACAGCCATACAGTTTTCAAAGCAAAAACAACCAAATTGGGTCTAAAGTGGTTGCACCATTTTACATTCCCACAGGCAATGTATGAGATTTCCCATTTGTCGATATCAGGCTACTACTTGATTGACAGGTTGGGCTAAACCCCTACCTCAACACGTACCATCAAGTTGACATAAAATCTAACTGCGTTGGGTTCAGTTGAGTCTGTTGTGAGTCCTAGCTGCCCTGTGTACAACAGAACGAATTAATACTCTATCTTGTGCCAGGCTCACAATGTTTCTTATGTTTGAACCCATTGTTGCAGCCCCTGTCAAGCCATATCATTGAGGACCTTCCTCTTTTTCACTGCCCCTCAAGCATGATATCCTTCTCTAGGGACCGATCTCTCCTGACAACATGTCCAAAGTATCTGAGATAAAGTCTTACCATCCTTGCCTCTAAGAAGCTTCTTGCTGTACTTCTTCCAAGACAGATTTGTTTACCTTTTTGGCAGTCCACGGTACTTTCAATAGTCTTCTCCAGCACCATAATTGAAATGTATTGATTATTCTTCCGTCTTCCTTATTCAATGTCCGACTTTCCCATGCATATGAGCCAATTGTAACAATTGCCTAAAGTCAGGTGCGCCTTAGTTCTCAAAGTAACATCCTTGCTTCTCAACAACAGTTTAAAGAGGTCTTGTGAAGCAGATTTACCAAATGCAATGTATAATTTGATCTCTTGACTGCTGCTTCCATGAGCATTGACTTTAAAAGTAACAAAAATAATACGAACTAGGCTGAATTTTAAATGGTTCAAAAAGTGATGAAACACAAATGAAAAGGTGCTAAATTTTAACCTAACTAGATCTGCATTAGTCCACTTTCCAGTGCACTCTGTCTGATAGCAAGGCTAGTCCCATCCTTAGTGTATGGCCAGTGGGAATTCACTGGAGGCTTAATCCATGGGAGGATCCTCAAAAAGGATTTTGCACTTCACTGTCATCCATAGGCTTCTGCAAAATGGGCATTTAGGATTTAAACTCTAATGTGGTTCTATCTTGCAGCCTTGGGTTTTATTATTTATAATCCTTGGATCCCAGAGGCTGGTGTACTTCTTTCATGTAGAATTAGCTGACACCTCACTTAGATGGATTCTTGTTTTAAGACAAGCCTTTAAGGCCCCAAATACTATTCTTTCTGATACTCAGGCACCATCTGATTTTTTTTAACCACACTTTGCTATAGCACCTGTAACCTTAGTGATCTCTTCATGAGGTCAAGTATCAAATAGCACCACATCATAAGAACTAATTTTTCTTAGATTAGGGCTTTGATTAATGTGAGCTCAAAATCTATTCATGTATCTATGGTTTACATATGTCCTTAGTCATTTTAAACACATCACTATCCTTTTAGCAGAAAACATTTTAAATTATCCCCATGGGGCATATGGTAATTCTATTGATATTATCATTAATTTAGTCAATAGTATTGAATTTCAAATACTTCTTAAGAAATGAAACTATACATGTATTACACAGAGTTTTAGACCAAAATACATAGGTTGTTGACCTGTACAGATATAAAATTCAAGTGACTGGACATTATTTCCACAAACAATGAAGGTTGGACATTGAGCAAAACTTTCAATAGCATACATTTGCAAAGACAGAACCATGTCTGCTAAACTAAGACATGTCATTAAAAAAGCAAAGAGCATGAACTTAGCAAATATATGATATTCCCAAGCTGCATTCATGGAGCACTGTCAAAGCAAGAGATCTGAACCAAAGTTCAATGACTTCCAAATCTATAATTTTGGATAATAGTCATCTGCTTATTCTCACACTGGGTTGTTTCAGTATTAAGTCCAATGGAGTATTCCAGTTCCTTTAATCTGCTACAGGTCATTTTTAAAAAATGATTTTATTGGGGGCTCCTACAATTCTTATCATAATCCATACATACATCCATTGTGTAAAACACATTTGTACATTTGTTGCCATAATCATTCTCAAAACATTTGCTTTCTACTTGAGCCCTTGGTATCAGCTCCTCATTTTCCCCTCCCTCCCTGCTCCCCGCTCACTTATGAACCCTTGAAAATTTATAAATTATCATTATTTTGTCATATCATTCACTGTCTGATGTCTCCCTTCACACACTTTTCTGTTGTACATCCCCTAGAGAGGAGGTTATATGTAGATCCTTGTAATTGGTTCCCCCTTTCCACCCCACCCTCCCAGTATCACCACTCTC